CCTAATAATTAAATTGACATAAGACAGCTTAAAAGGAGAAAAATAACCAAAAGTTTAATAACATGTATACATGGGAGAGATCCAGAAAAACTGAGCAACACCCAGAAATGGTGGAAACCATCACCTTAAATGCTGTCTGTCTTCAGCTAAGGACAAAAGAAGATGCTGGGGATGGGGAGTCAATTATGAGTGGATACCAGGAAAGGCATAGCAAACAATGGTAAGGTTGTTATGCAAATTTAAGTCATTGCCTTCTCCACTGGTAAGAGTTTCTAAAGATTTAGTCATGCCCTTTTTCCTGGTTTAGAAACACCCTGAAATGGAGTAAATGACATTTACATAAAACGTAAATGTCTGTTACAAAAGGGTAACTTACTCAGTTTTCAGAACTTTTTCTGTGTCTGTAGCTTCTTTAAAATAATCCTTATGCCAAAGAGGCATATTTTGGGGAGGCAAATTCTGCTCACCTACATGGCTATGTCAAAGCCTACATTACTAACACAGGGGAAAAAAGAAATAGTGTTATCAAACTGGCAAGATGGGTTCTGGTTTTTGTTGAAGCAAAAACATCCAGTCACCTGTCTTTCTGTAGGCTCACTGAGAAGTTGGATGAATACCTCTATCTATCCTTAGAATGTTCAGCTATTATTTCCAGGCACTTACATACACCTGCTAATCTGCAGACACATTTTATTTCTCTGAAGCCCACACTTTTCCTTCCTCTCTGTAAACTTTCTAATTCGGCAATGAGTAAAGTTAACTGATGTTGAAACATTAAAATGCCTTTATTATGTTTTAGTTGTATTAACAGTTATAAAGAGATTTGTTCAGTGACCATCTTTATAATTTTCTCAATATTTATTTTCTAGTAATTGCTAACTTGAGTTATGACCTGTAGTCCTCCTTAGAGGGCAACTAGAATCCTCAGATGAAGCCAAATTGGAAAACTCTAGAATGGAGAGGGAAGATATTGGCATTGTGGTGCTATAGCCAGGGACCAAGAGCATGAAAAAGACTGCCAAGAAAAGAGGCACACATATAAAGAGGATATGTACATAGACAGCATCTTTCCCCTCTTCTCTTGCCTTGGATTGATTCCCTTGCCTCTGCATCTCTCACTATAAAGCATTTGACATGTAATCATATTGGGTCAGAAATGGTTCGATGAGCATTGCTGGAGAGAGAGACAGCAAGTAGATCAGAGCACTTGCAGCAGTGGTGTGGGGCCCGGTGCTGATCCACGGTAAACTGCAAATAAACTCAGTGGCTCCTCATAAAGCAAAATATATTTTGGCATTTTAAAGAACTTCCCATTATTCTGAGATTATATCCTTCTTACTTCTTCAGTGATAATAAAAATGCTCCCTTTTTTTTTAAAAAAACTAAAATATTGGTAAGGACGATTGATGTCTTTGGGGATGAATTTTCTCCCCATATCACTGTATTGCCAAATAAGTTGGCAGTCCTATTTGGTTCATAACTTTTTTCTGAAATTGTGCTAGTCTATGAAATCCAAAAATATGAACAACACTGGGTTTAGTGATTTCTGGAGGTACTTTCCAATCTTATGGTGCCAAGAATCTACTGGTAAGAAAGGAGGAGCACAAATTCAGTAAAACATACCTCAGGCCCTAGGCAAACAAAGATGTGAGAACACACACTGAGAACTTGTATAACTTATTTAACTTTATCTAGTCAAGCGATCTCTCTTGGTGTCTTCCAACTACAAAAGACAAATTTGTCAATTTTGTTTAGTTTCTTTCTCGAAACAAATTCATTCTTTCTGGCGATCTGGCCTATGTCAGGGAGACTACTTCAGTCAGACTGAAACCAAGCCTGCAGGGTCTATGTGTGACTGTAGGGAGGTGGTGGGAGAGATGAAGAGATATCACATAGCATGGTGGCAACTATCCCTGGGCTTTCATTTCTTTACATGGTTCCTTCTAACCAGCTGTGAGCCCTGGGGGCAAAGAGGGCCAGGATAGCCTTTATTTTTTTTTTTTTTAAGGTTATGAAAGTTAACATCCTTGTGAAATTACAGTTGTACATCATTATTAGTCATGTTGTAGGTACACCACTTGACCCCTAGTGCCCTCCCCCAACTCACCTTTCCCCTGGCAACCACCGATCAGTTCTCTTTGTCCATATGTTGACTACCACCTATGAGTGGAGTCATACAGAGTTCGTCTTTCTCTGTCTGGCTTATTTCACTCAACATAATACCCTCAAGGTCTATCCATGTTGTTGTGAATGGGACGACTTTGTCCTTTTTTATGGCTGAGTGGTATTCCATTGTATATATATACCACATCTTCTTTATCCAATCATCAGTTGCTGGGCACTTAGCTTGGTTCCATGACTTGGCTATTGTGAATAATGCTGCGATGAACATAGGGATGCATGGAACTTTTGGAATTGCTAATTTCAGGTTCTTAGGATAGATACCCAGTAGTGGGATGGCTGGGTCATAAGGTATTTCTATTCTTAACTTTTTGAGGTATCTCCATACGGTTTTCCACAGTGGCTGCACCAGTTTGCATTCCCAGTGTATGAGGGTTCCCTTTTCTCCACAGCCTCTCCAACATTTGTCAGCCTTGGTTTTGGATATTTTTGCCATTCTAACAGGTGTAAGGTGATATCTTAGTGTAGTTTTGATTTGCATTTCCCTGATTATTAGTGATGATGAGCATCTTTTCATGTGTCTATTGGCCATCCGTATATCTTCTTTGGAGAAATGTCTGTTCATGTCCCTTGCCCATTTTGTAATGGGGTTGTTTGATTTTTTATTGTTGAGTTGTGTGAGTTCTTTGTATATTATGGAGATTAACCCTTTGTCAGATAAATAACTTGTGAATATTTTTTCCCAATTAGTGGGCTGTTTTTTTGTATCAATCCTGTTTTCCCTTGCCTTGAAGAAGCTCTTTAGTCCGATGAAGTCCCATTTGTTTATTCTTTCTATTATTTCCCTCATGTGAGGGGTTATGGTGTCTGAAAAGATTCTTTTGAAGCTGATATCAAAGAGTGTACTGCTGATATTCTCTTCTAGAAGACTTATTGTTTCAGGCCTAATCTTTAGGTCTTTGATCCATTTTGAGTTCATTTTAGTAAATGGTGAAAAAGAGTGGTTGGTTTTCATTCTTTTACATGTGGCTGTCCAGCTTTCCCAGCACCATTTGTTGAAGAGACTTTCTTTCCTCCATTGTAGGCCCTCAGCTCCTTTATCAAAGATTAGCTGTCCATAGATGTGTGGTTTTATTTCTGGGCTTTCAATTCTGTTCCATTGATCCGTGCATCTGTTTTTGTACCAGTACCATGCTGTTTTGATTACTGTAGCTTTGTAGTATGTTTTGAAGTCAGGGATTGCGATGCCTCCAGCTTTGTCAAAGTAACACAAAGAGGTAGCACTGTGCAGGGTTGTTGGATGACTAAACAAACCTTACCCAGCATGTGGAGGACTGAGCCCTGACTTAGTAACTGAGCAGGACAAGAGCTCCCCGTTCCTCTCACTGCAGTGTTCTCCTCTCATCTGCTTTACCTCACTTCCTGCATATCTGCTCACACAGTGATGTGCTTTGCAGGTTCTTACACAGACCATAGCTGTAGAAAGGTGAATGTAGGAAGCACCCCTTCTTTTGTCTAGGACAACTTAGGGGTGTGTATTAGTCAAGGTTCTCAGAGAATTAGAACCAATAGGATATATATATATATATATATATATATATATACATACACATATACATATGCTGCTGGTTGATGTCAGGACCAACCCACGAAAGTTGGGAAGAGGCAGCAGGCATTTGCTAAATACAATTGTTCCAGGCTCTTCCGTGTTTCTCCTGGCCAAGAACTGAACTATTCTGAGCTCTACAAAGGAGGAAATTCAGTCAGCCAACTGCAGAACTCAGACATCACTAGGGCTTGCTTTTCTTCAGCTTTTACTTGAAGGTTAATGGAGGATGGACTCCTGGGTGGAGAACTCTTGGCTGTCCTACCATTGGCTCTGTCTTGCACCATGGTCATTAATTTTCTTCACATCAAAAGTAGGCAGGTATAAGCAGTGGGCTCACAACAAAATTTGACCTTGACTGGTTTTTCTATTTTCTACATTTTTCAGCAGTGAAACAAGACTAGATCTTCAGTGTTATCCCTATTTCTTGCAAGGGAAGAGCCTTTATATAATTGGACACACTTTAGTTTTCCTCATCAAGAATTTTAACCCTCTTTTGTATTATTTCTACAATAATTTGTAAGGATATTTATTTTTATCCATTTTTCTTTTTTTATTTTTCAAGCCAAACTTTTTTATACTGCCCTTATTTGTTAAAACGATTCTCACCTAATATATATACTTTATATATATAAATATACTTATATATATAATATATATTAGTATATATTTAAAGAAAACATTTATATATATTTTCTATATATAGAAATATAAAGCTAAAATGTATACTTTATATATATTTAAAGAAAACATATATATATATATTTAGAATGGGAGAGAGAGAAATTTATTATGAGGATTTGGCTCACATGATTATGGAAGCTGAGACATCCCATGATCCGTTGTCTGCAAGCTGCAGACCCAGGGAGGCCAATGGTGTAGTTCCATTCTGAGTTCAAAGGCCTGAGAACTGAGGGCTAATGGTGTAAGCTCTAATCTGAGTGTGAAGGCCTGAGAACAAGCCTATGGTGTAAGTCCCGGTCTGAAGGGAGGAGAAGATCAATGTCCCAGCTCAGCAGCCAGGCAGAGAGAGCAAATTCACACTTCCTTTGCCTCTTAGTTCTACTCAGGGGCTCAAAAGGTTGGATGATGCTCAGTCTACTAATTCAAATGCTAATCTCTTCTAGGAACACCCTCTCAGATATACTCAGAACTAATGTTTAACTAGATATGTGGGCATATCATAGCCACACAAGATTAACCTATAATTGCATCACAAGATGCAATGCTTGGCAGGTACACATCACAATGACCATGTTTATTTTCTTCACAGTGACGTCAACAGGAATTCTCTGGAGAAAATCCTTCCACAGCTAAAATGCCATTTCACGTGGAACCTATTTAAGAAAGAAGGCATCTCACATGACCTAGAAGATAGAGTGTGTAACCAGATTGAATTTTTAAACTCTGAGTTCAAAGCTACAATGTACAACTTGTTGGCCTACATAAAATATCACAAATGCCAAAATGAGGCAGCCCTGGAATGCTTACGGCAAGCTGAGGAGTTAATCCAGCGAGAGCACGCTGACCAAGCAGAAATCAGAAGTCTGGTCACCTGGGGAAACTATGCCTGGGTCTACTATCACATGGGCAGACTCTTGGAAGCTCAGATTTACGTAGACAAGGTGAAACAAGTGTGTGAGAAGTTTTCAAATCCTTATAGTATTGAGTGTCCTGAGCTTGACTGTGAAGAAGGGTGGACACTGCTAAAGTGTGGAGGAAAGCAAAATGAAAGGGCGAAGGTGTGTTTTGAGAAGGCTCTGGAAGAGAAACCCAACAATCCAGAATTCACCTCTGGACTGGCCATCGCGACATACTGTCTAGATGAAAAACCACAGAAGCAATGCTCTGTCAATGTTCTGAAGGAGGCCATTGAGCTGAGTCCTGACAATCAGTATGTCAAAGTTCTCCTTGCCCTGAAACTGCAGAAGGGGAATAAAGAAGCTGAAGGGGAGCTGTTGGTTGAAGAGGCCCTAGAGAAAGCTCCTTGCCAAACAGATGTCCTTCGCCAGGCAGCCAAATTTTACCAAAAAAAAGGTGATCTAGACAAAGCTATTGAACTGTTTCTAAAGGCATTAGAATTCATGCCAAACAATGGCTACCTCTATTACCAGATTGCGTGCTGCTATATGGGAAAAGTCAAACAAATTCAGAAAACAGGAGAATCTGAAGCTAGTGGGAATAGCGAGAAGATTAAAGAACTAAGAGATTATGCCATGGACTATTTGATTAAAGCTAAGGAGAAGGGACTAAATTCTCTGTATGCATACTCTGATCTCACTGAGCTGGAAACAGAAGAATGTTATCTGATACCATTCACTAAGGAGCTCCCTGACACTGGGAGGCAACAACTCCATCAGCACTATTGCAACTTTCAGGAGTATCATGGGAAGACTGAAGACACTGCTGATCAACATTATTTAGAAGGTTTGCCCATAAGCACAAAATCAGCTGAGAAGGAAAAGATGAAAAACCAACTACAGAATGTAGCTGAAAATCAACTTCCACAAAATGCACCAAATTCTTGGTATCTACAAGGATTAATTCACAAGTGGAATGGAGATCTGCTACAAGCAGCTGAATGTTATGAGAAGGAACTGGGCCGCCTACTAAAGAATAGCCCTTCAGGCATAAGCAGCTTTTTCCTGCCAGCATCTGAGCTTGAAGAAAGCAGTGAAGAAATGAACCAGGGCACAGACAGGTCCATTCTCGGAGAGCTCCCTAATCCCTGAGCTGAAACAGAGAGGGAAAGGAACAGAGAGTCAGGGAGCCTGAAATGGTGGCCATGATGAGGAGAGGGGTGGGAAGGCAGGAGTTCCCCAATCTGAGTTTTCTGGGCAAGATGGCCTTGTTTATTGCTTTAAGATACATTTTAGAGAGCTGTTTTCTCATGTTTGTCCACCCTATCCATACCAACCACACATAGTTCTCTAGTCTGCAGATCTTATAATTACTTACTAGCAGAAACAGTGCTTCAGGCCCGCATGATGCTCATTAGTTCTCCGTTTGCACTCAGTTCACCAGATATCCCCTACCTCTGTCCTTGATGCCAGGAGTCATAATTGGTGACTGCCTACCAACAGAATGTCATCCTCCATCCCATTACTACCTAGCCTTCTTGGCCTCCTGGAAGACTAGCTTTTGACTAACCCTGGAAAATTCCTTATGACTTGCTCTTGGCTTCAGCCATGTATTTATATGTATTCTTGATAGTGATAATACAATAAATATGTATTCTTGATGATAATGCTACAATAAATTTAAAAATTTCAACTCAGGATAGAAGTAATTGTGTGGTTTGCACGTGTGACTAAGAGTAATATTAATTCCGAAAGTTTGTCTTGCTAGGGATGATGGGTAATTTCTACAGCCATACCATGCTATTCTCAACATGTCCATTTTAGCTCCTCCTTAGAGCTAACACTCTCACTGTAGCCAGCTCATCCTTGGGTTTGGGGAACTGACTTTCACTCCAGCCCAGCGGCCTCAGCTGAGACCATTGCCCAGTTAGCAGTTGGCCCTGTTGAGCAGGGCTGCTGTGCTTTTCCATTTCCATGTGGGTTGCCTTCCTCCCCTTTGAAGACCCAAATCACCACCCCAAATGTCCTCCTTGTCTGTAGCTGAAGATACTGAAACAGGCAGCCTCAGCCAGTTGGCTGAGTTACTCAGTTTCTCCCGAGTTTCTCACATGTATACATGCTATTAAACCTTGTTTGATTTTCTCCTGCTAACCTGTCTTTTTAATTATTTGACCAGCCATAAGAAACTTAAGGAAAGGTGGTGGGGGGAGGCAGGATTCTCCCACTTCCCTGACAGACATTTTCCTTTTAAATTCCTTTTCCCCTAGACTGGGAATTAATATAACATTTCAAATAAATTCTAGAATCATTTTGTAGCTGGTTTAACATTGAGAAACTTGTTTCTAGATTTGTGAGTGGTAGAAAGACTATGGCCCTAAATGAGTTTGCCTCTCTGAATTTAGAATTTAGAATTCATACCAAGAACCCCCACACAGCAGCCCTCTAGCATTCACAGACATAATACATGCACCTTGGACCATTCCCAAGTGAACTCAAGGATCTGGACCTACTATGGATTTGGGATTTTGCTGAGGCATGACTTCGAATAACATAGTAAGAGGCTGATAGAAGGGAGCTATAGCTAATGAATAAACCTAGCTGGTAGGCCCAGTATTTCCATATCAAGGAATGTCTCTGCATGTCATTATTTACACAACAACTCTAAAGAAAGGCTGTATGTAATGGGACATATCACTCAAAAATACCACAGACCAACACTCTTAAGACAGTAGAGGATGGGTGGAGGGCCAAAAAAGAAAAAAAAAAGAAAACCATCCAGACACATGAGTGTGTGTGAAAACCACTAGACTACCTCAAGGACAATGGTTACTAGATGCTAAAATTTTCTCAGTGAAAAAGACTGGAAACTAATTGAAAAAAAGCATAATTTTAGAAGATAATAGATTCCAGATTTGAGTATATGGAGCTCAAAGCACTTTTACTCATATTCTCTCTCTCTTTCAGCAAGCCTTTCCTTTGGATTAGAAAGACCTTACAGAAATTAACATTGTCCCCTCTACACATAGGGAAATATAGGCATAATGTATCCATTATATTATGTTATAACAAACCATCCCAGAATTTGGTGGCTTAAAAAATTAACCATTTTATTTGCTTACAATTCTTGGGTTATACAGCGCTGGACTCGGCTGGAGGGTCCTTCTGCCAGTTTTGCCTGGGTTCACTTATGTGACTGCAATCAGCCAGTGACTCAACTTGGACTGGATGATCTCAAATGGACTCACTCACACATCTCATGGTTGATGCCAGCTGTTAGCTTGGTCTTTCTCTCCATGTGGCTTTTCATCCCCAAGGATGCAAGCCTGGCCTTCTTCACATGGTGGTGTTTCAGGTCAGCAAGAGAAGAAAAGCTATAAATCCTCTTGTAACTTTGGCTCAGAGCTCCCACAACGTCATTTCAGCCACATTCTGTTGTTGGTCAATCAAGGCCAGCCCAGATTTAAGGGGACGGAAGAATGAACTCCATCTCTTGATGGGAAAAGTAGCAAAGTCACAATGTAGAAGAGCATGCATACAGGAAAGGGAGAAGTTTTTGGCCATTTTTTTGCCATCTACTACACACAGTATTTCAGAGAATTAGGCATATACTAGGTATGAGAAGCCAAGCCATAGATTCTCAGGGTTTCATACTTAAAAGGGATATTAGAGATCATCTAGGCCAGTGGTTCTTAAAATGTGGTTCTTCGAAGAGCAGCATAAGCATCACCTAGGAACCTATAAGAAATGTGAATTCTCAGACTCACTCCGCCCCCAGAACTACTGAATCAGAAACTCTGGAGATGGGATGCAGGAATCTTGTGTTTTAACAAGCCCTCCAGGTGATGCATGCAAAAGTTTGAGAACCAATGATCTAGAAAATGGTTCTCAATACTCACTGCACATTAAAATCACCTGAAAAGCATTTAAAATGTATGGATGACTCAGACTCCACTCCAGAGATTCTAATTAAATTGATCTGGGATGGGGCCCAGACACTTGTTTAACTGATGAGGAAACTGAGAGCTACAGAAGTAAAATGACTTTTCAAGGTCACACAGTGGTGAGTCAGATAGGAGCTGATCCTGGATTCCTGATCAGCAGCCATGAGCTGAAGGTTTTCTCTGCCTCTAATATGCAATCATTTGTTTCATTAGTAAACTCCTAATCACTGTTTTTTGGTTTTTTAAGCACAAATTTTAAGAGAAAGATGCTATGTTTCCTAACTGTTAACTTTGGTGTTTTGTTAGTGACTAAACAATTGTTAACTGGATGCATCATCAGCTTTTCTCAGGAACTCAGGCAGCTCTATTTATCCCTTTTTGATCCAATCAGACTCTTTCTGAAGATTCTTAAAGAACTTGTGTGTGTGTGAGGAAGACTGTCCGTGAGCTAACATCTGTGCCAGTGTTCCTCTATTTTGTATGTGGGACACCACCGCACCTCAGCTTAATGAGCAGTACATAGGTACACACCTGGGATCCGGACCCGTGAACCCCAGGCCACCAAAGCAGAGCATGCAAACTTAACCACTATGCCATAAGGCCAGCCTCTTAAAGAACTTTTAATGATACAGAGCTAGAGGAAGGCTGAGAGAAGAGAGCAATGATGGAGGTGATAAGATACCTAGGGACAGGCAGGCAAAAAATGTTCAAATAAAGGAAGGAAGGAAAAATGGCCTTGCAGCCTGCCTTCTTTTCTATTATTGAATATGTAATGTAAAAGGCTTGGGGGTTTGTATGATTATTATTTTCTGAAAGATTTATTTTTTTCTAAATGTTAGGCCAATATCCTCAACATCACTGTGGTAATAGCCATTGCAATATGGCGGTCACACATGTTAAACATGTAGACTTCAAGACTCCAGCAACAGTAATTCAGGTCACCATGAATTTACTTTAGGATGTTTGTGTTTCTGTAGAAAAAATAGAAAACACTTGGGTAAAAGAATGGTCCCTGGCTCCAAGATCTTCCTGACTGATGTAGGATGCAATTTGTCTTGATGTTTGACTTCCTTCCTTTCTTCAGTGGCCTACTGAATGCAATTGCACCAATTCCAAACATCTTCCTTTGAGCAAGTGGAGATTTAAGACATTTTCCAGAAAAGGAATAGTTCAGCTGAAGTATATTTCCAGGTTAACAGCAGGAAGAGCTGCCTCCCCATCACTCTTTTTTCTGTATAGTCATCCCACATTAAGCATCTAACAGGAACAAAGTGAAGAAAAGGGATTTGAAGGTGGCCATCTACCAGTGAAGCAACAGGCAGATCTAGTTCCTGACCCTGTGGTTCTTACGGGTCTCTAACTGACTCAGTTTCAAGGTTCCTGCAGCACTAGTAGCTGAATCACTAAAATTGTCCCTGGCCCTCAATCATTGGCTACCTAGCCCTATAATACAAATTACCCTCCAATCATAAACAAGCGGAAGGGAGGAACTTCAGCCACTGGATTCTAGGAAGACTCAGCCATTGGCTGCTGACTTGGCAATCTTGATTGATATCATCAGGACTCAGGAATTACCATGTGTCCATTCCTTTCTCTCATAGATGGATTAGGAGTAGTGACTTGCAGAAAATATTTTTACCTGAAAATACTACTGTTCTGTGAAAATCCTCCATCTGATATAACAGCAAGAGAGATAGCTAGGGGTGTGCTGCTAAATGTTTAGCAAATGGTTCTCTAAAAACCAAAAATGCCGAATTTGTAGTACTTGCCAAGTTCCAGGGCATACATCCTCCATTCCCGGATAATCCTGAGTTAACAATGTGACATTGTTAAAGATTCTCCCTCCAGGTAGAACTGGGGAGGAATTGGATGACCAATTGGATAGAAAGTGACTCACCTAATAGGTCCTGAGTGAAGGAAAAAAACCTGGCACCTAATATAGTTTAAATGAATGAGACTTCTGCTCTACCACTGGAGGCATAAAAATAAAGATTTTTGTAGCACTTAATGGCTGCACTAATGTCTCTCGGAACCAAAAAAAAAAGCCCAACCAGAACATTCTTCCAGACACACAGATTACAGTTTTACTGGCCAATGCCAGGAATGTACAGCTTTTGAATGGAAGAGCAGGTCAGAGCTGGTCCCAGCTCCTGACATCCGAATGCACTGTACAATCCTTAAGATTCATTTCTTTGAGCTGAAATTCTGCGCATTGTGATTGTTTCACTACTTCCATTTCATATTTACTACCATCCCATCAGCCTCAGGTACATCTCACAGCCTTTCTCTGTTCACATTCCTTACTTGTCTCACAGATGAGTTTCTGACTCTGCCTCTTGTGGAATTTTATGGGGAACATTTCCTGTAAAAGCTGTGTGTCATGTGTTGCATTTGTTTGAGCATCCCCAGACTGGGCCTGTTTCTGGAAGTTAAGTGTGGCAAACAACCACTTTCCAAAACCATGGGGAAATTCTTTCTCTTCTTCCACGACACGTTCTTTTGAGTTGAAATGTTCTAACCCAATAGTTTTCTTGAACACAAATTCTAAATGAGTCTTGCTTGGAAGAAGACAGCATTTGTTTACAGACTTAATTAATAGATATTTAACTGTTAATTCAATTCCTTGTTAATTACTTGGGTATACTGATTTGTGTAGGACTCCTTGACTGGATCAGAATAGACAAGGTATAGGATGGCTAACCACACAGAACTCAGAGCTGGGGGCTGGGATGGGAGAGGAGCATGGCACGCAGCAAA